CCATGAGATGTTCCTCACCCCATGGAGATGCCTCCAACCCCCCTGGAGATGCCTCCAACCCTTACCTGCGTGGGGTCGATGTTGGCAGGGACCTCATAGGCCTCCTTGGCCTGTCTCAGGACCTCCTGGAAGGTGCCCTCGGGGGAGTCGATGGTGATGGTGAGGACGGCGTCGTAGGCCAAGCGCAGCTTGGAGTTGTTGGCCAGGACAGGGTAGGGGACCCGGCGATAGGGCAGGGGGAAGGTGAGGGCGTCGTAGGGGATGAAGGTGTAGGTGCCGTCGGTCATGCCCAGGTCCTCAGCTTCCTCCAGGAGGACACGCTGCTCCTGGCCACCCAGAAGCACCGAGTGCATGCACATCACCACCACTGCGGGGGAAATACGGGTGAGGACAACCCAGGGAGCTAGCCTCAAGCCCCTGGAGATGCCCTCAACCCCATGGACATGCCCTCAACCCCATGGAGATGCCCTCAACCCTATGGAGATGCACTCAAACCCATTAAGGTGCCCTCAAACCCATGGAGATGCCCTCAAGCACATGGAGGTGTCCTCAACCCCATGGAGATGCCTCTAACCCATGGAGATGCCCTCAAATCCGTGGAGGTGCCTGGAGATACCGTCAGCCCCGTGGACATGACCCCCAAGACTCCCCAGAGGACAGGAAACACCACCCACCCTCACCACCCCGGGTGTCCCCACACAACCATCACCTGGACTTTCTCCATCCAGACCCACCTGCTCAATGCCCATCCATCCACCTCCACCATCTCCATCATATCCATCCATCTCCAACCTTCTACATCCATCTACATCCATCCATCCACATCCATCATTTCCATCCATCTCCACCATCTCCATCCACCTCCATCCACCTCTATCCATCTCCACCATCTGCACCATCTCCTTCCAGCCTTCTTAAACCATTTTAATCCATGTCCTTCCAACCTTCTCCAACCTTCTCCAACCTTCTCCATCCATCTACATCCATCTCAATCATCTCCATCTCCAACCTTCTTCAACCTTCTCCATCCATCTACATCCATCTCAATCATCTCCATCTCCAACCTTCTCCAACCTTCTCCATCCATCTACATCCATCTCAATCATCTCCATCTCCAACCTTCTTCAACCATCTCCATCCATCTACATCCATCTCAATCATCTCCATCTCCAACCTTCTTCAACCATCTACATCCATCTACATCCATCTCAATCATCTCCATCTCCAACCTTCTTCAACCTTCCCCATCCATCTACATCCATCTCAATCATCTCCATCTCCAACCTTCTTCAACCATCTCCATCCATCTACATCCATCTCAATCATCTCCATCTCCAACCTTCTTCAACCATCTCCATCCATCTACATCCATCTCAATCATCTCCATCTCCAACCTTCTTCAACCATCTACATCCATCTACATCCATCTCAATCATCTCCATCTCCAACCTTCTTCAACCATCTCCATCCATCTACATCCATCTCAATCATCTCCATCTCCAACCTTCTTCAACCTTCTCCATCCATCTACATCCATCTCAATCATCTCCATCTCCAACCTTCTTCAACCATCTCCATCCATCTACATCCATCTCAATCATCTCCATCTCCAACCTTCTTCAACCATCTCCATCCATCTACATCCATCTCAATCATCTCCATCTCCAACCTTCTTCAACCTTCTCCATCCATCTACATCCATCTCAATCATCTCCATCTCCAACCTTCTTCAACCATCTCCATCCATCTACATCCATCTCAATCATCTCCATCTCCAACCTTCTTCAACCATCTCCATCCATCTACATCCATCTCAATCATCTCCATCTCCAACC